GTGAGGTGGAGGAATGTCAGCAAATTGTGGTGATGGAAGATGCCTACCTGCTGTGACCGTACTGCTCAGGCTTAAAGGCAAATGCTGGCTGTTGCTGGGCACTGTAGGGCAGTTGCATGTGAACGCTCGTCTCTTCAATAGTTCCTCAATCTCCATCTAGAGCAGTGGAGACCAGAGAGGTCTGTGTGTTTTCAGATTCAGAGTAGCCAAGAGAAGAACAGGATGGGCCCCCCTTCCCAATAGCCTGTTGTAAGCAATTCTGCCACTGGTCTTGGAGGGGCTTGTTTTTGTCTTCCTCCACCAAGACTGTTAGACACCTCTGCAAGGTGTTGTGATGAATCACGAGCAGTTTGCTTTGCTGATGTCCACCCTGCAGGAGAAGTGCGGATGTTGCCTTCTTTGAAGTCAGGTGGCAAGTCTACTGAGGGTGCTTCAGTGGTGGCTCTTCAGTCATGATGTCCCTGTTGGAATTGTTATTAAAGGAGACCTGGTGATGGTGGTTGTACTCTCTCCTGTCTGAAAGACTTGTACAGTGACAGCCAAGGCTGAATTGGCATTTCTTGTTGTCTTTGTGTGTTTAGCTTTATGACAGCTACTTACGCGGAGAACATAATCGTCTACTTGGCCTATGGCGTCAGGTGGTGACGTTCCGCCGTCATTTCCTGGACATGAAGACTGCCACTGACCGGTGAGTAGAAGTGAAGGGTAGATCTCTGGCAGAAAAAATGGAGCTTCCCTTCACACCTGCTTTTTGAGCCTTGATGTGACATTTCTTGTGGTTAAAGATAAGATTTCTCCTTTGGTAGTCTGAAGCAATGCCATGAAGCATGCTTTGGGCTCTTCTCAGAATCATTTTGTTGGCTGCTGGATTTCAGACACAACTGAGGGGCTGGGGCTGTAAGCAATGCAGAGGTCCTGACCAGATGAAATTGATCTTTGGGCATATTAAGACAGACCCAGGCAGAGGTGGACACGGTGACAGAGACTCCCCAGAGCTTCACATGCAGCATGGAGAGCAGTGCCTGTAATAGAATGGTTAAAATCTGCCTTCCATCTCTCTGGCTTTCTTTCCCCACTGCTCCTGGCAGAGCCTCTTAGCCATCCAAGTATTGATAATAACAGATCACTTAATGGTGATCCAGCAGGTATAAAAGCTGGGGAGCTTGGTAAAATTCCTTACATCATTAATGCTAATTAGAATGTGTTAATAAGATGGAGCAGGAGCAACGATGAATTAGAGGTCCTTGAAGCCTTCTGGCTGTGCCATACATTTCTGCTGTCTCTGAGGAGAAAACAGACTCATTCCCCCACTGTCCAGTAGACTCATGGCTCAAGTGTCAAGATGTGTCCTGATCCCAGAGTGTCAGATGAATGATTCGTCCCCAGCAGAGATGTCATCTTTCCTGCCAGCTTTTACTGTTGCACAGTTTTGTGTTTCAGGAGTGAGTCAGCTGATAGAGATGGTGGTGTGAACATCAGCTCTTTCTTTATTCCTCTGCAGAGATTTGTCAGAGCTGAAGGCAGAGCAGATGAGGCTTTCTGGATCTATACTTGTGAACTGCTCCGGCCTAAACTTTGGAGTACAGCTCTGGGAGTCCATCACGCTGGGCAGACCTGTCCTGAAGGATGAAGCACAGCAGCAAGTGGGACAGGAAGGAAACCATCAGAGTCAGGAAGTGATGTGCTTACAAGTCAAGGGGGACTTGGAGAAGAAGGATCTTCAGGACAGGTAAAGCTGTTTTAAACTTTGCTATTACCAACATTCTCTTTGGTGGCTGCTTCTTGGATTCATAGATGGGCTGTGTTGGTGTTTAAAACGCACCCATTGTGCACAGCCCTGTTCCTGTGCTCAGTCAAACTATTGCCTTCAACAGCAAGGAGAGAAAAAATGTCTGACTGACAGAAGCTTCTTTTTGCTGTTACTTGATGTTTAATGAGAAATGGAGACACCACTGTAGATAGGGCTCTGTCTCTTCTACAACCCTTTTGCTCCCCAGGGCTGTGCTAAAGGTTGTTGGGAGGAGTTTGCCCAGGAGCATCAGAAGCAGTGTAGCACCCCTGTGCTGACAGTTCCTTGCAAGACTGAGTGCAGAAGGCCTTTTGGGGCAAGAAGTGCCATTTTGCAATGTGGGATATTGCCGGGTAGAGATGAACGCTGCCTTTTCTGTATCCTCTGGGTTGAACTGTCTCTGCTGTGCTTCTGGGAGCTGCTTGGCTCTTGAACAGGTGATGGTGTGCCGTGCTTTTGGAATGGCACGTGGACCTTCTCTTCTCAGGGTGGTGGAGCTCTCAGCCTTGCTTGAACAGTCTCAGAAGCAGAATGAGGAGAAGGAGAAGACCATGGAAACACTGAAGGAGACAGTGGAGCTTCTAGTAAGTTTTAGCTTTATCTGGGCTGTAGCTCAGTGTTTGCTCTCCAGCCTTCTCACAAAGAGGTGTGGCCTCCTTAAGAGGAGCGGTAAAGATGCTGACGGTATGGGAACATCATTGCCAAAGCAATCCCTTTGTGTTCAGCACATGTGGAGTCAGTGCAGGTGCAGGCAGTGGCAGGGGAGCTGCAGACCAGACAACTTGGGTGTCTTCCTCAGGGGGTGACACCAGTGCTATTCTGCCTGTGACTTTAAGTCTCTAGGGATCAAAGTTCCTTGGTGTTGACAGCTTCTTAGCAGGCTCTAAAAAGTAACTGTTGGTCTTTCTCTTCTTCGTTTTAGCAAAGAGGGAATTGAATAGGTATGGGAAAGAATATACTGGAATCATTAGGGCTGAGGTTTGTTGGCATGACAGTGCTACTGAGGATGGGAATGGAACAGAGGGGAGCAGCTCTTCCCTGCCCACCCTTTCCTTCTTCTTTTGTCAGGAAGCAAGTCAGTTAGAGAGAGAAGATGAAGCTTCATTGACTAAAAGTGCCAAAGAAAAGAATCTTTCCCTCCAAAAGCTGATCAAAGATATAACTGAGGTAAGTACAGAGTTGGGAGCAGATTTCTGCAAATTTGATTTAAAAGTACTTGAGGAAGGCAACAGACTAGCCTAGGGAATAGATCTAGATGTTGTGCACTATCTATGTTAACTGCTACTGGCTGTTGAATTCTTCTACTGACATAAAACCAGCTGGAACTTCTGAGTTGGCTGCCCGGTGACGCTTCAGCTGAATTGTTAGAAGTTTCAGTACCTTTGTCTTCAGTGTCCTGCTAAGTTCTCTCCTGGACTGTGCTTTCTGAGTTGGCTACTTGACAATTGTATTGCTTGGAGGCTTCCCCCACCCTCCTCCTTGAGCAATGACTCTGCTGTTCCTCAGAGTTTTATAGAAGGTCAGTGACTCAGTCGATGCACTGGCCATGTCTGCTCCGACACTCTGCGTTCACTGACCATCGTTATCACCCCAGAATCACAACTGGTCTGACTGTGTATGGGTAACTTTAACTTAGCTGTAAACTTCACCCTATGGAAGGGGGATTTAATCATCAGATCTCTCACACAGCCTCTCACAAAGTCAGTTCTTTCCCTTTATGTAGTCATTCTTATCCTCTTGTGCTACTGCTCAGAGTAATTATAAACAAGAGCTTTTTCCTTGCTGTTGTCCAGTATTCCTCAGCTTCCTCCTCCCTGGGCAGCATTAATGTTTCCTTTCATTGCTATTTCCAGAGTTGATCTGGTGCCTGTGTAAGTGGCTCTAAGAAGCTGAAAAAGACCAAAGTCATTCCTGAGAGCTTCAAGAAACTGAGTGTTCAAGCAGCATCTGGCCACTTCCCACTTGTTTCTTCTTGTTTATACTAGCTGTATTCAGAAATCCCTGGAGTACTTGTGGCCACAGGGACAAAACTTCTTTGCTGACTGAAGAAATGAGAGAACTGAGTTGTTACTGACTCTAGGGTGAAGTGGGAGGGGAAAGGAGAAATAGGTAAAGAAAACCAAGCAGAATGAGCAAAGAGTAACAGCTTGCTGTGGGCTTTCAGGTGGTGTTAACTGACAGCGGCAGCACGGTCAGCATGATCTGCACTGACAGTTCCCAGCACGCTGACTCCAGCAGCCCCCTCTCTTGTCTGAGCTCCGTGGATGCAGAGCATGCCTTTGTATTGGTTCAGGAAGCACTGGCAAGGAGGAGAGGAGTAACACAGGTGAGAATTTCTACTTGTCTTCACCACTGGCCACAGGCTCAGCTGCTAATGCCTCCCTTAACTTGAACCCTTTCCATTTACTTAGCCAGTTTCTTTCTAGCCTTTCCACTCTTGGTAATGTGCTGCCTTGCCATTCTCACCGGCTCTGTGTTCCTCTGCTTTTCTCTCCTTGATCTCTATTCCCCTCATGACAGCTTTTGCCTTCAGGTGAGCAGTCTCTCTGCTTGCTTCTTCTTCCCCCAGCTATCTGGAGCCATCTTCCCTGCTCCTTATTGCTTGTTTGTGCTCTTTCTCTGCCCGTTGCTTGCAGGCCCTAAAAGAAGAGCTTTCTGCCAGGGAGGACTCCATCAATTTCCTGCAGCACCAGCACAGAGAGCAGGAAGAGAAGTGCAGGAAGCTGCAGCAAAGGTTGGAGCAACTGGAGGAGGAATGCATGATGTCCAGCAGCCACCAGCAGCACCTCCAGTCTCTGGTAGAAGCACTCAGAAGGTGAGTGTTTCCTCCTTCTCCTATGTTTGAGAGGCAACCTGCTTCCAGTTCTGGGAGTTCAGAAGTGTTATGGGCAAAAAACTCCCATGCCCTACCACGTGTATGCCTCTGTTTGGCACTTCAGCATCCTCCTGTCACTGCTTTTCGTGCTCTACTGTGAATCCTAAGGCTGTCCTGGAGATTCTGAGTGATGTTGCAATACAAGATGCCTCCCTCTTGACGTGCTGTGTCACTGAATTCTGTTCTTTGGGTGCCCTTTCCTAGGCACTGCTTCTCACTGAATGCAGGCAAAACTATTGAGTTACCTTGTGAGGGGAGGAGCAAGTTCTTTCCTTCTCAGTACAGTGGCAATGGGATGAGTGACACTTCATGCATCTTCCATCTTCTAACTGAGCCTTGTCTCTGCAGTGACTGTGCAAACCTCAAGAAAATCAAGGAAGAGCTACAGCAGCAGCTTGAAGTAACAGAGCAAGAAGCCTCACGTCTGCGTCAAAGCAACACTGAACTGCAGCTGAAGGAAGATTCAGCCCAGGGGGAAAAAGTGGAGCAGCAACAGATGGTGGAGAGGGCACGTCATGACCAGGAGCTCCTGTGAGCATTACAGCTTTCTCTGGGCAGGGGTGGGCATTGCTGGACTTTAGGAGGCCCAGGGTAAAAGAATGGATTTTGTATGCTCATCATTTGTAGCACAGGAGGGTGAAAGGAGCATGTGGCCAGGTCTGGCTGCCTTCTGACATACAGCAGAGCTGCCTCCTTGTACTCTCTTTGAAAAAATCCTTCCAAACCTGACCAGAGTAGCTGATGACAGGCATAAGCTGAAACAAGAGAGGTTCAGCCTGGATTTAAGGAGAACAAAAACCTGAAGGCAGTCATGCAGCAGAGCAGGTTGCTCAGAGAGGTTGTGCAGATTCCATCCCTGGCAAGCTGGAAGACCCAACTGGGTAGAGCCTTGAGCAACCTGGACTGATCCCATAGCTGACCCCAGCTGCTTTGAGCTGAAGATTGGGCTGAAGGCCACCTGGGGTCCTTGCCAGCCTGAATCATCCTGTGATCCTATGCTGACTGGCTTGGAAATTCATACATATCTCCTCCCCAAACAGATTGCAGGCTCTTTCATTGTTTCAGGGCTGAAGGCAAGAGTAATTGTGGGAATATTAATCTGGACTTTAAAAGTCTGTCTTACCCAAAGAAGGACTTTTGAAAGTATCCAATGTGTCAAAAAGGAGAAAGAGAACTAACAGGGAGGAAGCCATTGAGAGTAGTTGAACTTCTTGGAAGTGGTCTGTGATTTCTGGAAGCTTGTTTTACTTTCTCAATGATGGGAGGTTTCACCTACATCAATGTCAAAGAGTGATGCAGCTCTAGTCAGGAAATTCCAACATTCTTTAGGTGTAAACAGAAAGCTGTTGGAAACCATTCAAACTGCCCTATCTGGGGCATAGTGTGTACTCGTGGTTTAGGAAATTAGAATATTTCTGTATTAAAAACTTGTTTGTCTTTCCCCTTCTCATAGACTGAAGGACTTAGTTGCACTTGAAGGAAAACATTCATTATTACAGAGCGAGTTGGTAATCACAAGAGAGACACTGGAGGAATTGCACCTTCAGAGGGATCTGCTGAAGCAAGAGAAACATGAGCTTACCATGGCACTGGAGAAGGTATGGTCACCTTCTTCCTGGGCAGCACTTGTGGGAGAGGGAGTTGTGGTAGCAAGGCCACCACAGATGGGGTAGTTAAGTCCCCACGTGGTTATTTGGAATGCTGAGCTGGGAGTATGTCAGATACACACAGGGATGTAGAGTTGCTGCTTGAAGTCAGGGATTTTCCTGCCTTTGTTGTCATGTTGTTTTGTCTCTTCAGGCAGAGCAGTCAGTAGCAGAGTTGACAGGGGCTCAGAATAAGCTGAGTGCCGAAGTAGCTGACCTACATGTTGCAACAGCGAAGATGAGCAGTATCAATGAAGTTCTTGCATTGGATAAAGTGCAGCTGAACAAACTTGTGCTGCAGGTGAGCAGAGTTGCCAAAGGTCTTGTCAGCTGTTTGTCTCCATCTGCTGCTGCTTCTTCTTCTCAGATTTCTTGCCTTCTGACAGTGTGACTGTCTGAATATGTCCCGTTTTCTGTCCAAGCCAAACCTCCTAGAGAGTAAATCTTAGTGTATTTTATTTCCTTTGTACTTCTGTGACTGTAGCTGGAGCAAGACAATGAAGTTCTGTCAGATAAAGTGGTTGAGATGGAGAGAGCAAGGATCTCTGACCAGGAGAAGCTGGGCTTGTGTAAAAGAACAACTGAAGAGCTCTGCGCAGAGAAAACCCACCTGGAACAGCTGCTGAAGAAAGCAGAGGAGCAACAGGAAGGGCTGCGGGTAGAGCTGAGGATGCTGGCAGAGGAGAAGGAAGAAACTCAGGAGAAACTCAGTCAGGTGAGACCAAAAACCTGGTGCTTCTGGGTGGGCCTTTGGCTGCTTGGCTCAGTGAAGCTGTATCTGTTGGATTCTGCAGTGGTTTTGTCAAGGAACCACTTGACAGTGCTGGAGGTCAGAAGGCTTCGTTTTCTTCTTTTTGGAAAGGTGCTGATGGCTTGCAGAGCTGTTCTGCAGTTCTCCCAGTTGTCCTCTGCTTCTACAGATTCTTTTAATCCACCCTGTCTGTGTTGGCCTCTTTTGGCTTTTGATAAGCTGCAAAGAGAAGATTGTGTTGTCCGTGCATGTGAGCGGGGCTACCGCTCTGACGTGTGGCAGACTGTGTAGCTCTGTATCCTTCTTCTGAGGCACAAAACAGGGCTGCGTGTTTGTATCTATGATTTTTGTTGGGAAGTCTGCAACTTTCAAAACTCCATTTGCTTGAGCCTAGAGAGCAGGACAAAGCTGGAGGTCAGTGTCTGCTGTCTTGTGCTGCTAAGAACGGGAATGACATCTTGAAATCGTTGAAATTGTATTTGAAGACATCCATACAACTCTGTGGGTGGAAAGCTGCCTGGGGCAAAGCAGCTGGGGTGTTGGTCGGCAGCCATCTGAACATCAGCTGGCCGAGTGCCCAGGTGGCCAAGATGGCAAATAGCAGCCTGGCCCGTATCAGCAATAGTGGGGCCAGTAGGACCAGCGCAGTGATCCTCCCCCTGTACTGGGCACTGGTGAGGCCGCAGCTGGAGTGCTGGGTTCAGTGTTGGGCCCCTGACTCCAAGAAGGACATGGAGGTGCTGGAGAGTGTCCAGAGAAGGGCAACGGAGCTGGGGAAGGGTCTGGAGCACAAGTGTGATGAGTTCCCTGTACAGACAAAGTCTACTATCTCTGAGGGCACATCAGCCAGACTTTCATGAATCACTAAAGGACACTGGTCACCACAGGGTCTGTTTCCCTGCCAAGCACCATCTCATTGCATCCAACTGCTTTTACACACTGAACTAAGGGGCAAGGGGTGTGAGCTGGAACACAGGACGTTCCACTTAAACTTGAGAAGAAACTTCTTTACAGTGAGGGTGACGGAGCCCTGGGACAGGCTGGCCCGGGCGGGGGTACTGCTCACCACAAGGGCCATTTCCAAGCCATTTGCCAAGCACCACCTCATTGCATCCAACTGCTTTACACACTGAAGTTGGTGATCTTGCTTTTTTTTTCTTTTTATTTTCCCTAGAAGGAGAAACCATGTGTATTTTCACTTTCTTCAGCGAGCAAAGCTGCTTTTGCTGAACCTTTCCTGAAAATTTCCAGAACTTGAATAGATCCTGACAGAATGGCAGTTTGCAAGGTGACAGTTCTGGAAAATGCAGTATGTTTGCACGAAAACTCGTAGTCTGGGGTATGTGGGTTTGTTGTGAAGAAGCTGTCTGGTCACAGGCAACCCAGTAGGGCCTTACTCATCCCTTGCAAGTTCACAGTCCCAGTGCCTTTTGGCAGCCCAGGGTATTAGTGCAGTAGGCAGCAGATGCTCTTCAGCTTCCCTCCCGAAGGAGAGGGCTGTCTCTGTACAGAGCTCCAGAGAAAGGACTCTGACTGCATTTTGTCCCACTTTCAGGTTTACCGCCAGCAAGAATCGGCCAGCAGCGATCTGGAGCAGTTGCGCCAGGAGTCCTCTCGCCAAGGGCAAGCACTGGCCAAGGTGTCCAAAGAGAAGGAACTGCTGGTGCATGAGAAGGCTGCCCTAGAGGAGCGACTGGCAGCCGTGGAGCGGGACAGACAAGGCCTTTCGGAGCAGCTGGCAGAGGCCAGGTAAAGGCGGGGAGGAGACCCTCGGCAGGACATGATTTAATGTCTGTCATTATAAAGCTGCTAATCATTACGTGGAGATTAATTGCATCCTGTGTGCTGTTCAGGTGTTTCCACCATGCATGGACAGAAAATGGAAGAATCCTGAGCAAAAAAAACCCAGCAGCACACCATGATTTGAATGTCATTTTCCTGACAGCTAAAGCCAGCAAAGCTCTCCTGAGCCTTGGGCTCGTGTTTATGGGCCCCGGAACATTCCTGTGTGCAGTCCAAAGCATGCCAGTGTAATTCCTTGATATCTGGTACCTTGGCTCTGCATTGAGTCATAGTTAAACCATGCAGATGTTTACTGAAACCTGAAGCTTCCCTCTGGCTTTGGTTTTCTGTGCGTTTGAACATAGATCTTTCCTTATTGAGTGGTTGGACATGAGATCTTCAGGATTCAAGGTTCTTGCATATGGACGTTGTGAGCAGGATTTAGGGTGAAGCTAGAGGCTCATGCTGAAAATCTTGAGGGCCTTCTGCTTCTAAGCTAAATCTTGTTACCTATGGTGCAGGATCTGAAGTTGGTTACACCAGCAGCAGGGAAACATCTTCTGAATTCTCGACAGTGTTTGGGGATTCTTGCCCATCATTGATGTCTGGGTCCTGTACTCCTTACCTCATGCTGTTCAGAGACAGACGTCACGGAGAAGTTAGAGAGGGAAGGAACAAGATTCTGTGCTTCTGCTGTATCAGGTTTCTAAGAGCAAAGGTGACAAGTTCTCCTTTTCCAAAAAACCAAAACCAAACCCCAAACCAACCCAATGTATCGAGCTGTTTGTCCTCCTCTTAGGTGTTTTTTAGGAGACTCCTGAACTTGCAGAGCTGCACAAATGATGTTTTAGGGGTTGTTTGTCACATTCCTTGACTTTGACGCTTTAGCACTCTGGAGCATGTTGTCAGCAAGGCTGATGAGCACCATTTTGACTCAGTGTGTTTCTTGAGAGCTGCTGCTTCTTCTGAGTTCCAGCTTCTCTTCTTTGATCCAACTGAATTATGTCTGGTCAGTTACTGGGCTGGAGCAACACTCCTTGCCAGATGTTGTTCTCAAGAGCCTTTTGTTGTCACAGTTTTGGACTCTCTCTTTTCTGTTCTGTTTGAGAGACTGACTTGGATTTCTCCTTAAAATGGAGCATATTTCCTTTGGACTGCCAGAGACTGGCGTAATCAGAAATAGGTGCTTGTTCTCCTTCCCGAAGAACCATTGTCCATCAAAGGAGTGAAATCCTGCTGTTGTGGGTTTGATTGTTGTACGGCTCAGGTGCCCCTTTTCCTGAAGGATGTTCTGGTTACATCCCTGTACCAGTGAGGCAGTGCTGTGTGTTGTAGGAACCTGCACACAGGGCGCTGTGTTAGATCAGGGAGGTAACTTCAGCTCCTGCTTCCAGAATCCTGTGTGTCCTATGCATCAGTTGGTTGATGTCTGTGGGTGTAACAATTTGCCTCTGTGGTACCACAACTTCCCTTTGAAAGGTTATTTGGGCCACTGCCCACTTAGCAACACTTCCAGAAAAGTAGCAAGCTTTTCTCTTGAACTTCCGACAGTTTAAACTGAAGGATAGCTGTCTCTTCTTTCAGGTAGTCCTTGTTCTGATAAAATCCAGTTCAGGTTTCTTACAAATGCTGCTACAAACATGAGATTTTACTGTATCATCTGATGAATTTCTTTAGTCTTTTGAAATACAGGGAGTCTGGAAAAGGAATATCTCTACCTACACTATGAACAGCATTAAGAAGTCTTGAGTCAGCCAGGGAAATACTCTTATTCTGTCCCCCTGCAGAGCAAGTGGGAAGTGCTGAGGAGATCAGGGCTGTGAGCAGAGGCTGGCACAGACTTTGTGGGCACAGCTACCTCTGTGTCACAGATCAGACAACAGCAATTTCAGATTTGGCTACTGAGATCAAATTCAGCTGGGCTTTCTGTGTTACACTGGGTCATAAGGAGAGCCTGGGCCTTCCCTCGGAGGGGTCTGTGTTGCTATTTTAAATGGCAGAAAGATGCTTTCTGTGTACAAGTTTCCATGCAACTCATTTTCCATACTCAGGTGTAGGGATTTTGAACCACTTGTTACTGGAATAACTCCCTGTGGGTGCCAGGAGCCAGACACTAATTTCTCTCTGTATTTACAACTCGTAGGTCAGTGAAGGAGAGCCTGGAATCCAGCCTGTTTGAGGCTCAGCAGCACTTATCTCGGCTGGAGATCACCAGGAGTCAGCTTGAAATGCAGCTTGACACAGTGACACAGGCCAAGGAGGTGATACAAGGTGAGAGGTTCCTGTGTGTTGCTTCTGGGTATCTCCGTGCCTGGAGAAAATGGTATAAAAATAGTTCTCTGTCCACAGTGCTTCTGGGGAGTGAAGGAGCTGGAGACAGATCCCTCCTACACTGAAATTCAGAGGGCTTAAGGTCAGCAAAGTCAGAACCACTGTTTGTGTAGACTCTGACTGTTGCCATTTGTCGTGTTTGCAGGGGAAGTGAAGTGTCTTCAATGTGAGCTGGAAGCAGAGAGATCCCTCATCAAGCAGGAACTGGAAAACATGGCACAACAGCTCTTGCAGAAGGAACAGCAGTATGAGAATGCCCTCAGGCTTCGGCAAACTGAGCATGAAGTGGAAATAAACAAGCTGCTGCAAGACCTGGTAGGAAACAATATGCTTCTGACTTCTTCAAGCAAGCTTTGTGGGCTGGCTTTAGCTAAATAATAGCCTGAGCGTGTGAAATGGCCATCATCAGCCAGAGGCCAGGCGCTGCTAGGCCAGGCAGCAGAGCCAGTGGCTCCTACTTGAGGGCCCATGAAGACCCACAGGACTCTGCTGGGACAGTAAATGCAGCTGCTGATTCAGTGATTCAGTCTGGGCATAAGATGAGTTCAGCAGAAGGTTGGGTGGTCCCCACCCAGCACATGGCAGCATAAGGGGTAGGATCTTCCCAGACTCCTGCCCACCATGAGGTAGACTCCGAACATTCCTGCCAACTGCAGTCATGGGAACTTTATTCCTTTCTTTCTGTCCTTTCCTGGTTGACAGAGGTACTGTCTTTGGGCTTGAAGCGTATGGAACAGGCCCCTTGTTCCTGGTACTGCAGTTCATGGCCTGTTCTTGTGACTGGGGCCCCGGGGTACTGGCCTCTTCCTCACCCTGCAGTCCATCTGCACCTTTTCATTGATGGGAGTGGAGTTGAGCTTTGAAAACAGAGACTCTGAGAAAAGAGAGAAATATTGAGACAAGAGGTGCTAAGAAACAGACAGGAATCAGAGAGGGGAAGGTAACAATCTCCTTTTCTTAACGGTTGGACTCTTAAAGGTCTTAAAGGTCTTTTCCAACCTAAATGATTCTTTGATTCTTCCACCTGCTGACTCTCCTTTCAAGTTCCTTGATAGGACATGATTTACGGAGGACACAAAGACACTGCTGTGCACTGTTGAGGTGGGGGGTTTGTGGGAGGGATGAAGCTTCCCATTTTCTTTTGAGGACCTTGGCTGAGACTCTATCTTGAAGGCTTTTCCTCCCCTCATCAGGCAAGCGAGCGGGAAGGGCACCATTCAGAGCTGCAGGAGATGTTGGAGCAACAGGAAAAGGAAAAAGCAGAGACAGAGAGGGAGCACGAGAAGAAGCTGTTTGACATGAAGCAGCAGGTTGCTGCCATGCAAGCTCAACAAGAAGAAGAGCGAACCAGAGCTGAAAATGCCAAGGAAGAGGTAAAGACTGTGAAAGGAGAATTTGTGTGGTTTTTTATTGCAAGGTGTGGTGGTTTTAGCCTGGCTGGCAGCCAAGCACCACACAGCCACTTGCTCACCCTCCCTGACTGGGATGAGAGAATCAAAAGGGTAAAAGTGAGAAAAATAATGGGTTGAGATAAAAACAATTTAATAATTGAAATAGAAAAATTTCAATTATTAAATTGAAATTTAATAATGATTTTTGATCGGGCAAGTGGTCCCAGAGCAGAGACAGTCCTGAAACGAAAACCACAATCCCAAGAGAGAGAGAGAACCTGAGCGAGCCCCAGAGCTTTCCAGTCAACCCTCATTAACATACTGAACACTGCAGACCAGCAAAACATGGGAAGTTGGAACGTCCTTGGTTTTCTTAGTAACACTAAAAACATCAGTATATTATCAACGTTCTTCTCATAACAAATCCCACGCTGAAACCAAAACATGGTGCTATTCCAGCTACTGAGAACATTAGCTCTGCCCTAGGGAAACCAGGACACCAGGCGAGAGCTGTGGGAGATGGCTGGATATCGGGCTGTGTGGAGCATGTCCTACATGTTCTCTACATTGAATGTGGTGAGGCAGAAGGTGAGCAGGGCTGTCTTTGGGACTAGGAATGAGGCCTCTCATTGGAAGCCAGGCAGAAAAATCGCCTTTCAGTTGAGGTTTTTGTGCTGTTATTGTGTTCTGTTTTTTATAAGACTTACCTCAAAGTATCTTCAGAGTTCTCTTAATGGTCCTCTTTTGATATTTACTGACACATGCTTATAGCCTTAGCTATATTTAAGACCAAACTGAGTTTGTAGGCCTGAATCCCCATGAGGATGGGGTTTTTGTTTGGGGAGGATGGGGGTGCATGGTAGGAATGTTGACAGATTTTTAGACTCCTCTAAAATATTTCTGAGCGGTAAAACAGAGGTGTCTTCTGGGCTATGCTTTAAGTCACTTGTTGATAAGCTATTTTGTGCCCAGATCTCCTGTGCCAAAGCAACCCTGTCATACACTGAGAGTCCTCCTGTGCCCCACCCAAAGTCCTCTTTATGCAGACTGCCTAGGGACAGCAGTACCCCAACGGTGTCTGCAGGTATTGAAAGGACAGGACAGGGCTCAGAGATGACAGTGTGTCCCTTTAATGTCAGCACTTTACCAAAGTCTACTGAATTCCTTAAAACTGAAGTAATTTTTACCAATCCCCGCTTAGAATACATGAGTTTTCTGGAGGAGCTGCTGGCTTCAGCCCTCTGGCAGCCTTGCATTTTCTCTACTGCTAGGTAGGTGCAAAAGTCACTATTGAAAGTCAGAGGACACAGCAGATGAGGGACAACCTCACCAGCAAGGCAAGACACTTGAGAAATACCACACATTTTCCTGTTAGATGATTAAGAGTTTGTTGGACATTCAATCACAGATGGACCGTGGATGGAGCATGTTGATACTGCCAATGGCACTTAGGAAGCTGTGTCTTCAAGTGGGCAGATGATGCCCTAGGAGACCAGCAGCACAGTGCTTTGAGAACACGTGAGCCCATCGGTCTTTGAGTCTTGGCATACAAATCTTGTATGGGAAGTTTAAAGCCATCTTCTTCTCTTTATTTCTGTGCAGATCCTACTAGAAAAGGAGCATGAGAAGAATGCTTTATTAGAGACTCTACTCCAAACTCAGGGAGAGCTAAGAGAAGCCTGCCAGCAGGTAGAGCAGCTCCGGCAGGAGGTGGAGGAGCAGCGAGAGAATGGGCAGGTAGGTCTGACGGGTAGGGGAGGCTGAAGGAACAGGCCGTTGGCAGATGGACATAAGCTGAGAGAGAGGCTGAGAGAGCCAGAGTGAAGGGCAGTAACAAGGAAGTAAAAGATAAGTCCTGCGATGGAGGAGGCAAGGACTAGTGCAGGCGCTGAAAGCACAGAGCCTGGTAAGCTCCAGAGCTCAGCAACAGGAAGGAAGGTTACAGTGGAAACAGAGCTGGGTAGAAAAGCAGAAGGAATTGTCTGAATGAGTATGAATTGGAGACAGAAAGGGGAAAAAGCTGGACCTGATGGCAGGTCCCAGTAGTTTGATCTCCTGTTGTGTTTACAGAACATCACAGAAAAGCTGCAAGCAGAGCTGCAGGAAACTGAGAGTCAGATCAAGGCAGAGGAGAAGAGGCACGAGGAACAAATCCAAACTGTCAAAGAGGAAATGAATATCCTTCTTCAGCAGAGGGATGCTCTACAAAACCAGGTGACTGAAACAGCAATGGCTCCTCCAGTCATCAAACAGGGGGTGTCTGCCCTTCTTGCCTTTCCACTGCAGAGCAGCAGGCTGATGGGGTAATCCCTCTGGCTGCCATCATGCTCTGGTCTCCATCTCAGCTGCTCTGAAGGAGACTTAGCAGCCAGCTGAATCTCAGCTGCTGCCCTGGACAGATGGGCTGTTTTTTTTTCAGATGAACATGGTGACCCCCTTGGATTTTTAAACAAATCATCTGTATCCATTGCAAATCTGGTTCTCTCATGACAGGGTGAAATGTACCGTTGTTCTTTCCCTTTCCTCGCAGGATAGGATATGGCTGACAGTGACAAGCTGTAGTCTTTGACTGCTTTGTTATGTTTCATTTGAGGTGGAAGAGTTGACAGCTCAGCTTGCAGCCTCCAAAGAGTCCCAGCAAGTAACTGGTCGCAAAGCTCAGCAAGATCTGAGTGAAGCACAGGAACTGACAAGGCAGAAGGTGCTGGAGGTTGAGCACCTCCAGAAGATCCTGGAAGAGAAGAGAAGTCAATGGGCAGAGGTAGAACAGCAGAACAAGGACCTGCAAGTGTGTCTGCAGACCTTGGAGGGGGAAAGGAGTCGATGGGAAGAAGTGGAGCATCACAACACAGAATTTCAGGCTTCACTGAAGGTCCTAGAGAGTGAAAAAGCCAGGTAAATGAATGCCTGTGAGACTCTCCATTCTATTGAAGGGAGTCCCTCTTTCAGGTCTTTGCATACACAAGTGACTCCAGCAGCATTTCCTAAAAAGCAGAGTTCTAAACTATCCATGCAGTTATGTTTCATTCCCTCATCCTGGGTTTCATTTCTTTTCTTTTAACCCTTCAGTTACAGTTTTTCTGAAGATAATGGCTTTTGGAGCAGTCCTTTCCTTAAAGGGAGGTGTTCTTTTGTTAGGTTGGCATTTTGATCCTGTTAAATGAAACTCTGAGGGGTTTCAAACCTGAAACACACCAAAAGAGGCAGGATGAGCTGCGGTCTAATGAGCTAGATAGATCCATCAGCTCCACCTTGGGTCCAGTAAACTTAAACATTTGGGGTCTGTATCAGTCTTCCATCCTGATAGCTTTGGTTGGCAGAAACCATTTTAAAACCACGATTTTGAACTAGGCCAGACTTCCCCTCTGAGGCACCCAAGAAACAGGAGTGTTTCTTTTTGGCATTTGTTTCCTTGTTCCTCAAAAAATCCCACCAAGTGTCTGGAGAGGCCTGAGCAGGGTCCCTGCCAGCCTCCACAGTTCCAGCTGTTACTGACTGTCCAGGGAATGCAAGAAGGGAGAGAAAGGGTCAGAAGGCTGCTTCACCTGGTCAAGTCCTGCCAGTCTTCAATACGTGTTGCCACTGAAGAAGAGAAATAAAAGGCAGTGTGCTCTTGCTTCCCCTGTGGGGGATCCTGTATTTTATATAAGGATTGGGGTATTTCTTCCAAGCCTCCATTACCACTTCTGGTATCGGCCTTCATTTCTCCAGCTGAAAGTAATACGGGTGCTGGCAAGTCTTATGAAACTCCCCAAAGGTCACCTTGCTGCTGTTCCTACCAGGACATATAAGCTAGGGGAAGAAAATGTCTCTTCATTGTTGACAAAACCTCTCCCTTGGAGTCTTATTAGTAAAAATAAATTTCCCCTTCCCTAATGTCTTAATTTCACGATTTTGTTATGTTTATATTCACGTTCCCATCTCTAAAAGAGACAGAATGTGTAGCCAGTAATTCACCTTTCTTCTGTGGAAACAAGTGTAGTGGGCACGTGCTTGGGTGTGACTGCCAGCCTGGCTTAGGCCTGAACAAGCAGCCTTTAGACAAACCTCAGCAGACAAAGCACTTTTCCCCTTGCTGGTGGGAGTTCTAAGAGTTTATTAAATGTTGTACCATGTAGTAATTGAGTTGCCCGCTCTCTCTTTCAGACTGACTCTGTCTCTGGAAGAGAAGGAACTGAGCCTCAGAACCCTGGAAGAAAACAACCTTGCCCAGCAGAATGAAGTGTCTCAGCTTCTTTCTGCTGTTCACCAGGCCCAGCAGCTCCATTCAGACCACAGGAGAGAAATACAAGAGCTCAATAACCAGGTGACCTATGCACTAGCATCCTCTTCTCCAGGGACACAGAATACCACCTGCAGCTTGTAGGTCCCAACTTGTTTCCCCTCCTAACAACACACACTCCTGTTTTTATTCTGCTCAGAGACTTTGCACATGGAGGTCAAGGCTGGATCTGCTGGGTTCTGCCTATGTTTTCCCCTATTCTCTCATGGTCCATGGCATTAAACCTCTGAGGAGATACAGAAGACTCCTTTGGAGCTTCTCAGCATCTCTGTTACAAACGTTGTCCCCAGATGGTGTTTCTACCTCTGTCGGGCACCGAGCAGTCTGGTGAAACAGAAGTGGTGATCGCAGTCTGTGGAAGGCACTTCCATCTCAGCCAGTTCATCAGGCATTTTGGAGATGCACCATAAAGGATGCCGATTGTCTCCCCTTTACTTACTCTCCCAAGAATCCCTGGCAGCCCTGCTCTCCATGCTGGCATGCTTGATCTGCCACCTCACCCTGCCAGCCACCCACTCTCATGCTCTCTTGCACACACAGAGCTTCATGCTTGAGGTTGGAAAGCATGGAAGCCTGATAGTTCAGCCATTCCTTAGGGGATGGGGAAACTTCCTTTTGGCCCTTCAGCCTCCAGATACCTGTTTCTGGCTTATTTTTTGCTGAGTTTGCATCCTTGGCTTTGTACCTTCTGTTTCCAGGGTGCTTTTTGCTTGAAGTAATTTCTCCTTCATTCCTTCCTCTACTTCCTGCTCTGCTGCCTCAGTAGCAGCACTGTCCCTGAGGCTCTGTGCATCTGTTACAGGTACAGTCGCTGCAGGAAGTGGTGCTGGAGAAGGAGGCTGGCCTGGCAACTCGAGAGAAGCAGCTGCTGCAGGACCTGGAGGAGTCCCGAGCAGGCGAACGGTGCTTGAGGGACTCTTTGCGTGTGCTGGAGGCTGAGATGTCTGAACTGCGTTTGAGACTCTGTAGCACAGAGACCAGAGCAAATGCACTGGCCACAGAGTGTCAGCAGGTGAACGCTGCCCACTGCGAAGCCCGATCCCAGCTGGACAAACTGCACTTGGTTCTGCACCGCACGATCTGTGACAGCAGAGGCTCAGTCACCTGGAGCTCAGGTAAGCATGGGAGGCTGGGTGAACAGGGCTGGAGAGCATGTACGGGAGAGCAGATGGAGGGAGGGCTGGTTCTTGGTAATCCCAGTGTGATAGACTCAGCCTTTGGCCCAAGCCTTGGGAAGTCTGCAAAGCCTGACATCCCTGCAGAGAGCGAGTCCATGTTTGTATGTGGAGAAATGACCAGCATCAAAATGAAACAGGGCCCAGGTCATGTCAAGTCATAGGGCGTGTGCATTCTTCCTTGGGGCAGCGCTGACATTAGTGGTCATCAACATAACATTGGCCTGTGACATGCGTCTTGCTGTCATGTGAGCTCTAGGACAGCATCAAAGGCACTGCCGCCTTCTCCTGTGTCTAAAGAGGCCTTGTTTGTTGGAGACCCTTCAATTGCATCTTGAAACAGAATGGCTTCTCTCTTCAGAACAGGGTCATGTTGGGGGCCTCACTGTTTCTCAGGCCGGGGACCTCCCTACAGAGCTCACAGTGGACAGAGTGGCAGCAGCTCTACAAGACCTGTGTCAGCACCTGAAGCAGACTCAGCAAGATCTGGTAATGTGTGTCCACAGCACCCAGAAATCCTGTCCCTCTGCTGAACTGACCTGACAAGCAGAGTCCCAAAGCCAGAATGGGGGTAGATTCTTGTCGGCCAGGTTGGCTTGCTGTCCTGGGGAGAAAGGAGAATCCTGATCACATCTACCGTCACTGTCCAACTGCCACCTTCCCACCTTGGCTGTTTCTGCCTTAGTGTTTGTAGCTCTGTCTCCTGCCAGAAGTGGCTCTGTGAGGTGATGGTTCTCTTCTTACCTCTTACAGAATGATGCGAGGAAGAAGATACAGGACTTGGAGCTGGAGCTGAGCGAGGGGCAAGCTGAGAAGGACCATTTGAGTGCCCACAATGAAGAGCTGCAGAAACAGTTGGCTCGAAGCCAGGAAGGTACAGCTTTTCCTCTCCAACCCACTGACCCCATCCCATCTCACCAGCGGGAAAATCTGACATCAAGCAGAGGAAAAGGGTGGTGCAGGGAGAGGGGAGGAGGAGAACAACAAGCATGAGACTTATCTAGAGAACTACCAGTGAAGGGCTTTTAGAAAGATCCAGTGCTGGCCGTGCATCTGGCTGTGCTCCTGGTGACAAACCTGCACAGGTGGTGCCTTTCAAGTCACATGCACACTCACTGCTGAGTAGGTGCAGCTTGATGCCTCACAGCATCCTTCTCCATATGCTTTTTAAAAGCACCAGCCTGCAAAAAGCCTTGTCTTCATTGGCTTCTTTTCCTCCTGCGTGACAGATTCAGAGCATTAGTTCAGTGTTCAGCTCCTGGGTTATTGCAGCCCTTGTTCTGCTGCTTTTCCTAGTTCTCTGGTGCCTATCTGTAGTCCTTCTTGCTTCAGGTCTTGTTACTGCTGTGGTGCTCGCTTGTTCTTGCCTTGCTGTTGTCCTGATATCGCTGAATATTTCCCTTCTTCTCTTTTCTGCCAGTGCAGAATGTATTCCTCTAGCATTCTTTTGGACCAATACCAACATGCATCTTCAAGCACAACATTGACATCTGTTCTTTTCTCTAATGTCTCTTAAGTCTTCCAGGTCAATTAACTGTGTCATAGCCAGTCTTCACTTTTGTTTCTTCTTCCTTTTCCTTTGGGACACTACATCTGATTCTCACCTACTCTCTGTCCTTGTTCATCGATGGTGGTTCTACCTGCTTCTAACACTGTGGGTGATGTGCTGCCATGCCCTTAACCTTGGCCTTTCAACAAGCACAAGAGCAAACACATTTTCTTATTCTTCTGAATCTTGCCACTTTGATTCTTCTTTTCTCCTCTGCCTGGAAGTTTCCTTTAGTTATGTCTGCTTTGAAAGTCCTTGTGGGCTTGGGGCCTGGGAAACACAGACAGGCAGATAAGAAAATGATGTTTTATCTGTAGGATGCAAATCAGTTTGGCTTTGCTTTGCTTTTAACATTCTCCTTCACCTTTACGCTGCAGAGACACAGATGACAGAACGCAAGAACAACTCTCTGCAAGCTGCCTTGCAGGAAGAGGCTGCTGCTCTAAAGAAGGAGGCCATGACTCTACATCAAGAGGTGGCGTCTTTGGAAAGGGAACTCGAGACCACTGAGAAGCAAAGAAAGGACGTCCTGGTGAGGCTGGCAGACACTGTGAAGGGCTTTTCCTTACATATTTATGGCCTTCAGTTAATAATTCTAAGGAGGAACCTTTTCCAGTGGAGAGCTGATTTTGGCTGGTCTTGTACAGGTTCAGTGCAAATCTGAGAAGAACCAGAGTAGGCAAATGCTGACCAAGTTTCTCTCTTTTTCCCCTTCCTTCCACTCATCATTCCTTGTTCCCGGACTTTTACTTTCCTGACAGGCCATGTAGCTGAATTAGCAGGGTCATCACCTTGGGTAAGAGAAGACAGTCCAGAAAGGAGAGATCATTCAGGTGGCCAATATCACAAACTGTGTGGAGAGACCACGACAGGAGCAGAGGAGTGTTATTTATACCAGTGGCTGGTTTTTGGTTTAACTTGTCCAATTGCATTCTTCTGAATAAGCAGGAAAAGATGCTGTAGTGATAGAAAACTCAGTTATGGTTCAAGGTGTTTGTTTTCCTCAGTTCTGAAGATTTCTGCCCTTGAAGCTGTAGTCAAAACAATTTTCAAACTTGCCTTTATTTGCATTGCATGGTTTGGGCAATTAATTGTGTCCAAATCCATAGTTAGATTTCTGATTATGTGGATCTGGAAAAAGGGGTGAGAAGACAAAGTCTGCTAATAATAGAAAGCTGTTGAACATTGCCCATCTGAGAGCAAGAGAGTGGGGAAAATAGATTTGAGAACCACAAGTGCTGATCCAGGTAAATATGTATGCCTGCAAGGGGAAAACTAGTCCTCATTTCCAACACAGCATGACAGACTGTGATCTGACTGTTACTCAGAGGGGACAGAGGGGTTCTAGGGGATGAAAACTCGAGGCAGGGAGAGAGGGGACAGCCCTTGACAGCCACTGAAGCAGGAGTTCAAATCTAGTACAAAAAGCAAACATCTATAGATGGACTTGTTCAATCTTTTTCTCGCTGTTTTGCAGCATGACCGGGACAGACTGCAAGCAGTTAAAGAAAAACTGGTCTGGGAGATAAAACTTCTTCAGGAATCAGCCACAGCCTCTGAAACACGAGCAAATACAGCAACAGATACTAATCACTGCCTTGAACAAGAACTTCAAACTACACTGTCTATTTTAAAAATTAAAAATGAGGAAGTGGAAACGCAATGGGAGAGAATCCAGATGCTGGAGAAAGAGGCAGCACAGGGAAAAACTCTGCAGGAGACTCTCTCTCATCTGACTGCCACCCTGTCAGAGAAGGAGGGAGAAATGAAGTTGTACCAGGATCAGATGAGAATGCTGGAAAAGCAGAAAGAAATGCATAAAACTACTCTTGATCAGGTTATGAAGGACCTAACGGAGAGAAATCTGAAGACAGAATCCCAGCAAAAACAGATACGGGAGCTGGAGAAGCAGCAAGAAAAAGACAGGATTACTGTCAGCGAGATGAGCAAAGAGCTGGAGGAGAGAGAGCAGGAGATCAGAACCCAGCAAGAAGAGATATGGGAGCTAGAGAAGCAGCGAGAAATGCAGAGGACGGCTGTCAGCAAGATGAGCAAAGAGCTGGAGGAGAGAGAGCAGGAGATCAAATTCCAGGCAGGAAAAATAATGATTCTAGAGCAACACGGTGCATCCCAAGTGAGAGATCTGCAGGTGGATCTTGACCATGTGAAAGGAAACCTGAAGGAGAAAAACGTAGAGCTTATGTCTCTGATGGAGCAGATCCAAGAGCTGGAGAAGGAGAGAGAAGAGGTGAAATCTCTGCGCACCAGCCTTGAACACCTGAGGGCAGTTCTGAAGGACAGAGAGAGTGAGTGTGACTCTCAAAGGGATCAGTTAAGGCTCTTGAAGCAATACAAGGAAGAGCAAGAGGGGTACCTGCAAGAGCTTCATGGTAAAGTAGAAAGGATGACACTTTCTTTATCTAAAAAAGATCTAGAGCTTGAGACACAGCAAAAGCAAATGCAAGAAGCTGAAGAAGTCATGGAAATGCAGTTAAGGACTGTCCGTGACCAACTGGAGCAGACCTTGGAAACCTTAAAAGAAAAGGACAGACTCATAGACATCCAGAAGGAACAAACAAGGAGCTATGAGGAAAAAACAGAAGAAGAGCTGAATATCTTACGCAGAGACTTGGCACACAGCGCAGCAATAGTGAAAGAAAAGGATTTGATGATTGAATCTCAGAAGGAAGTGATTGAGACCTTCCAAAAACAAGAACAGGACTCTGAGCAGCAGAAGGAAATTCTGCAACACCTTCAAGTGGCACTGAAGGAAAAGGAGCAAGAAATTGTATCCCTTAGAAAGCCATGTGAGGCATGCAAGGAAAAGGAGGAAGAGCATGAAGCTGAGCAAAGCAACCTTCAGGCAACAAAACTGACTCTGAAAGAAAGAGAAGAAAAGATAGGGCTTCTGGAAGAGGCGCTCTCTAAGCTTCAAGAGCAAAAGGAGGAGGCAGTAATGCAGGCTAAAGCTATGCTGCAAAAACTACAAGACACTGAATCTTCTCTAGAAGCTAGAGATGAAGAGATAGTGTCTTTGCAAGAGCATGTCCAGGACCTTCGAAAGCAGAAGGAGTTAGAGGGCAAGCAGGCCAAGAGTCTACAGCAGGATCTAGACAAAATGAGACAGGTATTGAAGGAGAAAGATTTGGAGTTCCTCAAGCAGACAGAGCAAATGAACATGCTCCTGCTTCAAGAAGAAAGCATGAAAGTAGCACTAACATCATGCCAGAAGCAAGTGAATCTGCTTGAGGAAGAGGTGAGGAAGAGAGATGAAGACAACAAAAGTCTTATGCAAAAACTCCAGCACCAGGAAGAAGAACTGAAGACCTTGCAGTATGTCCAGCTTAGGCTAAGCAAGAAGAATGAAGAGGTTAGACATCAGGGAGAGCAAGAGAAGCTCCTGGAAGAAGCCTTGCCTGAGAGGGAACGAGAGACCAAGGCTCAAGGTGAACAAAAAGAGTTAGCAGAGGAAATAAGAGCTCTTCGGGAAAATCTCCAGCATGTTCAGCAGACTCTGACAAAGAAGGATGAAGAGATCAAGTGCCAGAGAGACAGAGTCAGGTATTTAGAGGAGACTCTGAACGGGAGAGAACAAGAGCTTAGGAGTCAGAGTGAACTCCTGAAACAATTAAGATCAGTTTTGAGATGGAAAGATGATGACGAGACCCTGCAGAAACAAATCCAGAAGCTCCAAAAATGGGAGGAAGAGGAAGCAGAGAAGAGGAGAGTTCTCCAGGACTTGCAAAGGCAGAAGGAGCTAAGCCAACAGCTGGAAGACGAGCGGAAAGCAAAGGGGGAAGAACTGGAGCGTGTGCTTGCGATTTTGAAGCAGACTGAAAGCGGAGAAATCGAATGGAAGGAGAAGGCCCAAGCACTGACTCTTGCCCTCACCCAAAGTGAAATGGCCAATGGGACTTTGAGGGAAGAAATCGCCGTCCTGCAGAGGATGGTTTCAGAGAGGGACACAGACCGGTTTCATCATCAGGTAAGCACTGTGACTGATGATCAGTCAGCTAAAGTGTCTATAAAGGATTCTCGTTATGTTTCCCATAAAGATCTGGGAATGGATATTCCCATAAAGATGTGACCTGTTTGGCCACAGAAACTGTGACTGCAGCCAGCAGGCTGCAAAGCTCCGGCAGAGACACTTCACCTGCCAGAATGTTTTCTGCCAAGCCCAGAACTACTGAAAGGACTACGGGGCTTGTGTTAAAGTTAAATCAAGTCCAAAAGTTTGGGGTGGGTCACTGGTTCTCTCCTGTCTAGGCAAGATTAGCCAATGTGGATCTGGCACGGAAAGGGCACAGTTGACCAAACGAATGTTCTGAGCTTGGTAGAATTTTGTAATGATGGCTGAACAGCAGCTCTGCTGATGGTGCTCAGAGGGGCTTTCAGAGATGTAGATTTCTCAGGTACAGCTTTTCCAGTGTATTAAAAAGAATGGAATTCGTACTCTTGCCTGATCTGGTGAAAGGCTTCTTTGTGCATTCAGGATGCACTTGTGCTGCAGTCCAAAAAGCACGAAGGCAAAATGGCCTGGATTTCTCCAAGGTGATCTGGAGGAGGGCCCTTAGGAAGAGAGTGTGTTGTTTTGGCCTGTGGAGCAGGAGGAGAAGAAAGGACTTAGCAGTGTCTGTTCTTGAGTCCGGTCACTCTCCGTGACGTGTTGATTCTGGCCTCCTCAGCTTTCTGTGGCACCAGCTCACCTCATCTCCTCTCTGAATACCCCACAGGCTACTGCAGAAGGGGAGCAGCCACCACAGCTCTCAGAGAAGAGACTCCAGTTGCAGCAGCTGGAACATCTGCAGCGAGCAGTTGCAAGGCTGGAAGTTGAGAAGATGGAGCTGAAGCAATATAACGCTGAGCTCAAGAGGACTCTTGAGCAGGTAAAACAGGCTTTCACTGCCTCTGCAAAGCCTCACTGTCCTCTGGAACACAACACATTTCCACAGACAGCGCTTTGGAGTCCTCTGCTTGTTTCCTTCCCTCTCCCAGTTCCCTCTGCGGACACAGGCTTTGGTGTTTTCTCTCTCTTCTGGCACCCCATTGCCTTTGCAAATGCACAGTCACCCCAGTACCACCCTTCTCGCCCCAGTGTCTCCATACACACGCATTTGACACTCCTGTGTCAGGAACTGTTTCCTCTTGCTCCATCTCTTCCATAGTTGACTTCAAGTGGTTTTTGCCCTCAACATTCTCTGGTGCAAGTAACAGTCTCTGAGCAGAAATCTCCTTGCCATGCTGTCCAGAGGGCCTTTTGCTCCTTGTTTGGTGGCAGGTTTCAGGTTTCTGTGACCTTTTCTTGTGTCCAACGTGCAGGTGGAACGTGAACGGAGGAGGCTGAAGAGATACTGTCGGGGTCTGTCGCTGCCAGGTGCATGTGGATCTTCTCCCTCTGAGTGTGACCAGCACAAGGTTCCTGCTTCTAGACAGGTGAGAACAGACTCTTCCTTGGCGGGTGGAGGCTCTGGCCATATGGAGGATCAATGTCAAGTCCCAGTGGCAGCAGCCCCACAGTGCAGACCTCATAGAAGTCAAATATAGACCATGGCCCCTGTGAAACTGGAGACTAAAAAGCACTCTTTGTGTTTTCTTCACAGGAGGAGTCTCACACGTGCTGCCCTTGTCGGTTAGCTGAGCTGCAGAAGCAGGTGAGGAGTAGGAAAGCTCCTTTGCCTGTGCACATCGTTTGCTGTGAAGTCCCTTTGATGTCTTCCTTTCTGTGTGTGCTACTGGCTTCTAATTCAGCTCTGTGCACTCCCCTTCCAGAGCTGGCTGCCCCAATTTCACATCTAGTCTGCTCTAGATGCTTAGCAGATGGGGGTCCCACTTTTTATCTGGTTTGCCTTTCTGTTGACAGACCTTGGTCTTGTAATTCCAAGGCAG